GAGTTCAATTGCTTGAACCCAAGAGGCAGAGGTTGCAGTGAGCTAAGATAACACTGCTGCACTCCATTCTGGGTGACAGAGTGAGACTCCGTACCCCCAAAAAACAAAAAAAAGGCAGGAGCATCTCTTACATTTCTTCTGCGTAGTGCCTGTAGTGCCCTGTCCAGAACTGGGTCTAGCTGTGTGTACAAACATGTGGCCCTGCACACCCACATCATAAATTCCAACAATGATGGCAAGGGCTGCACCAAACTCCAGCCAGTCTTGGAGACCTCAGAACGTGCAGCGGCTAGGTGGAGGCTGACACCTTCCTAGAGGAGCTGGAGCTACAGCTGGGATGTATCAGTCATCTGTTACCATGTAACAAATGATCCCAGCATAGCAACCTAAAACAACAGGTATCTCCTACCTTGGTTTCTGTGGGCCAGAAATCTGGACACACTTAGCTAGGTCCTGTGCTTTAGGATCTCTGGCAAAGTAACACCCAGGCCTGTGGTCTTCTCTGAAAGTTGAACTGGGGAAGAATGCATTTCTAGGCTCACCCATGCAGTTGCCAGTGGGATTTCATTTCTCGTAGGCTACTGGACTTGAGTTCTTTGCCATGAAGGGCCTCTGCATGGGGCCTCTCACAACAGGCACCCCTCTCTCCTCTTTCTACTTCCATCTCTACAGTGCCATTGTAGTGCCCTTGTTCCCTGGCCCACTGTCACATGTCAAATCCTCCCTGTTATTTAAGGACCAGCCTGATGTTCTGCTTTCCCATAAAGATCCATGTCCTCAACTGGAAAGTGTTCTCTCTAGGGCCCTGACCCTGTCCTCACACTCCCCCTGGCACCATGATTATTGTGATGTGTGTGCCTCTCTGGTGAAACTTGTCTTAGACATCTGACGTTGAAGTCCCGGGCCTAGGCCCTGGTTAATATTTGGGAAAATTTTGGCAGGGTTAGGCTGGGACAACAAACAACCTCCAAGCCTCAGTGGCTAGTCCCTCCCACTGCTGCCCTCCGAGTGCTGGCGTCATCTCTTCTTCCTGCTGTTTTTGTCCCAAGACTCTGACTAGGGGCGCAGCCCCCATGTGACTGGCCAGCCTCAAGGCTGCAGGAAGAGAAGGTTGCAGGCTGTGTGACCCTCTGGAAAGTGAGCCATTTGGTCGCATAGGGCCAGGGGGTGAAATGTGCAGCCCTCCCTCAGCTGGGGCTACCGCCAGTCCCAGGGCCATGCCACTGTCCCCAGATCAGATGAACAACCCTTGGCCTGGAGGGCAGTGAATGTTTTGAATGAGTAAGTGGAGCCTAATGAATGAGCATAATTCTCCCTGCAGTTAATTCCTACAGCACTGAAAAGTTTCCCTCACTCTCTGAAGCCTCCACTGCTCCATCAACTGCCATATAGGACCTTTTTTCTTTTTCTCCTGAGGTTTGAGCCTCACCAGTGCCTGTCCTGCTGCCTCACCTTGTAGCAGAGGTTCCTAAGCCCTGAAGTGAGGGACCTGCAGCCCAGGGCTGCTGTGCAGGGCCCAGGTTTGCCCTGGGTCTGGTGACATGGAGTTAGAAACATGAGCTGAGGTGGCACTCTCCACCTACCAGCAAATTCAGACTGAGTCAGGGACAGCCACTGCATCCTAGCCGCTGCTTTTGATCCAACTGAAGCTAGCTGGCCACATAGGGATGGCAAGCCCAGGGAGGTTGGGCAAGGTGACAGAACACTGTCCTTGCTGCTGTGTGGGGCTTGCCTGTAGTGTCCAGCCCACCCCTTCCTGCAGAGGCAGGAGGCCCTGGGAGAGCCACACCACAGCCCGGCTTATCCCCCAACACCAACTGTGCAAGGCCATCCAAGCACCAGCCAGAATTCCAGAACATTTCAGAAATGTCAGGAATTCAAAAATGGCTGTCAGGTGAGGGTCCCTTACCTGGAACCTTCTCTCTCATTGCCTCAGTGTTATATGTAAGTTTTCAGTACTGCAAAAGAAGTAACACTCGAATATAAATTTTCTCTCAGCAAGGCAACTTTACTTTCCACAGAAAGGGTGCCACTCACCAGCAGCCCTGCCACAAGAGCACACTGAACAGTGGAGGCAGGGCCATTTATGGCTAATGCATCCACCTACTGCTGTATCCTGATTCCATTGGCTGGAACTGGACCTCACAGTCTAGGCTGCACCCAGGTGGCTAACAACTTAAAACTTTCCTAAATAGGTAAAGGCAGAGGAGAACAATGGAAAAGAGAAAGTAACTTGAAGAACGCTTATTAGAGAGGCAAAACTATTTCCAAATAAGGAAGAGGAATAAGCCATGATCTAAGACTTGCCTGGACTTGTCCAGACATGCCAGAGCAAATATCTAGGTTAAAGTGTAAGAACTAAGAACACTGGTTACACTTATTTCTTTATTATGACTAACAGCTACTCAGGAGTATTTGCAAAGGGTCTAGAACTTTTAAAGAAACTATTATTTGTAATGAACAAGGGGAAAGCTTTGAAGAGGAACTTTTATTTATTTTTATTTTCTACACTTGGCAAGATCCCTCTCCAAGGCCACAGAGGCCCCCTGGCAAGGGTATAAGACCCATCCCACCAAGGACCTGGGTCACTCAGCTCTGCAATGGCATTGCAGCCTAAGTGTGCACCCCCAGAGACAACCCCAGCTTTGCACCTTACCCTTTAAATACCAGTTGCAGGCAATCTACCTACCAGCAGACACCAGCCATTGCTGGTCTAAAATGCTTTTTAAAAACAATTTCACTCATTTTTTTTTTTTTAATAAAAAGCTTTCAAGCTGATATGTATGTCTTCCCTACACCACAAACACTAAAGTGGGAAAACAAAAAGAGAACGACAGTCAGATGCTCCCTGGCTCCCAAACCACACACACTTTACGAAGAGTAAGAGTTGCACCTGGGCTTGTCAACAGCAGTGCCTTCATGAAAGGCATTCTGCTGTCAGGGTGGAGACCCAGCGGCTTTCACCAGCCAAAAACTAAATCTCCAAACCAATATGCTTTGCCCAGTGTTGACATATATTTCTCTCTTCCATGCTGGTGTCCACAAAAAATACTTTGGTGCCTGCAGTATTTTTATGGTCCAGAAGCACCTCGATGCAGCATTGGTGGGTATGGCTCAGCTGCCTGAGACAGGCCCGGGGGCCTTTGCCCAGCTCGTGTCCACCCCAGAGAAGGGGTATATGGCCCCTGATTTCTGGGGGTTCACACAGGTGAGTATCCAGCACTGAGTTGGACCGTCTTTGGAAAGAAACTCTGGGGGTGTCACAGTGGGGCAAGGGCGATGTCTCACCAACTGCCAGGGTTAGGGCCTCACTCAATTTTGCCTTTCACATTTTAATTGTACAACAGTAATTTTGCAATGGAGTTGCCGATGGCAAACATGCAGAAGACATTAACTTTATTTATGTTTTGGATTATTAATGTGGCTGTTAAAATCCCTCCAGTTAGTTTTGATTGAATTGTTTTTTGTGTGATTCTGTTGTTTAATGGAGCGGTAAATAAGAATTTCTGATAATGAGGCTGAGCATCTGTCACAACAACCTGGTGTGGGTTATTAACATTTCCATTAACGGCAGGGTGGGCAGTGATAATATGGAAACCACACAGTTAGAACAAAATAAATAGTTGGTGTCAGGCTGAGTGGGTGTTAATTACTATTATATTCTGCACTGGGGGGAGAGAGCAGAAAGTGGGGAGGGGTTGACGGGGAAGGGGTGAGTCCTGAGGTCAGTCTCTCCCAAAAAGGCCTCTCCAGAGAGCTGGGTTGCTGGGCTGCTGGGCTGTCTCCCTCGGACAGCGACTGTTTTATCGTCTCCATCAATGGTCTGTAAAGAGACTTGGTCAAAAGGCTGCACTTCTGGGCCACAGCCCCGGCTGCAGGTAAAGAGGAGGGCTTGGCTCTGCCTCCCTGATCTGTCTCCCAGAGACAGCCCCCCCTGTACAGCTGCCCTGGAGCTTCCCAGGGCCCAGCTCATGGACAGCCAGGAGATCCCCAGTGGGAGGAGGGAGTAGCAGAGTACAGGCCGTCAAGAGAAAGTGCACAGCATGGAATTTGAAGACGGCGTGAAGCTGGCACGGTGCAGACAGGATGGAGTCGTTCTGAAACGCGGGTGTGTGCTCTCTGCAGAGCTCTCAACTCCCTGATGGCTGTGTGGTGAGGTGTGGAGGTGCAGTCACACCCTCCTCATGTGTCTTTGGCTTCTGCATGTACCACTTAGCCCTGCAGACTCAGACAACACCCCAGTGAGCTCCTCCCCGGGGGGAGCAAGGGGGTTAGAGGCGAAGACTGGATCTTCAGAATTTGAAGCCAGAGCTGGCCTCAGAGAGCCAGGTGCAGCAGTATTCTCAGACATCGGATCTCCCTGTCCCCCTTGGAGGGATAGCTCTGTGTGTCCAGACGAGCTTCATCCACATCAGGGCTATGTAGCCAGGGATGCCTTAACCTGTGATGGGAACTCAGCCAATTTTCTCTCATCTCAATCAGGAATATCGGTGACAAAAATCATGGCAGTCAGGAATCCTGTGACTCCCTCGCCAACAGAGCCGTGGTGACCCTGTCATATCCCAGGCATTGCTGGGACCTCAAGTTAACATCCTTAGGACCAGCAATGTTTTGATCTCACAGCATCAGACCAGAAGCATGTAGATTAGGATGTCATACCTTTCGTTTTTAATACTCTGCTAACTGTATCTCGGTATAATCGTTTTTCTTTGCAATTCTATATATTTTATTTTATACATTTAATAACATTTTATGGGATGGGTTTGCAGTCTTTCCTGGCATAAAAGGGCTGAGAGCTCTTGCAGGGACACAGAGCCATGGACCCCAGGATTTGATTGTGTCCAAGGCCTCCCAAGCCAGGGTAATGGCCTCAGGGCAGAATCGCTCACATGGCTCCCAGTGGAATTAGGGTACACTCGATCCCCGTGGGCATGTGGGCGAGGGGCCCAGCCAGCTCTGAATGGACATCTCAGCTTCTCTCCATGTTGCTCTTTCCTTAGCCCCTGCCATGGCCCCACAGAACGTGCAGGTGACCCCGCTCACGGCCAGCCAGCTGGAGGTCACATGGGACCCACCACCCCCGGAGAGCCAGAACGGGAACATCCAAGGCTACAAGGCAAGGCCCTTCTGCACAGTCACCTCCCCCAGCTCACTCGTGTACCTCTGGTTCACGTGATCCTGCCCACTGCGATGCCAGCAGCAGACCCCACAGGCACTCCACCTAGAGAACTGGGGCTCAAGCATCCAAGCTTGACTGGACCTGGCCTCTCAGCTGTGGTCACAGAGCTGCTTGTGGATGAGACCTACCACAAAACAACCCAGGTTGGGGGGCCCCTGTTCATCCAGTGGCTTCTCCCCACTCTATCCCCATGGCCTGGCTGGGGAACCCTTCCACTTCTGGGGCCCACCCTGGAGCCCCCAGTACATTGGCTAGCAGTAAAAGAACATGGGGCACCTGGAAGAGACCAGGTTCCCCATCCCAGCCCCGCCCTTGGGTCACAGCTGGACACTGAGCAATTCCCTTGATTCAGTTGATCCAGGATAGGGCCCATGGATTGCATTTCTCACAAGGTCCAAGATGTGAGGTCCCTGGGATCCCCACTTTGAGAACTGCCACACTCATACATGAGAAGCCCATAGTCCCTGGATGCTCTAGAGATGGGGAAAAAGAAAGGCAGCAGGCCATGGAGTAGAGTGTTAAGTGAGGAATCATGACACAGCTCTGGGTTATCCAGGAGCGGGAAGCACCTGGCCACGTCCCATCCCTGAGGACTGGCCTGCTTAGAGAGTACAGGAGCCCATACACATCCCAGGTCTGTGCCCCAAAAATGCCCCCATCATTCTCTGGAATAAATTCCCCTGTCTGGTCTGCTGGGGCCCTAGTCAATCAGTCATCAGATTCTGGGGGCTAGCCTGCCCTAATGACTACTGGGCCAATTAAATGTCCATTTAAAGATGATTTTTGCAGGTTTTTATGAAAATTAATCCCATCCTCCATGGCAGGACTGTTACAGTGATGAATGAGCTCATGGAAAGCCCCATGAGCTTCCAGGCACCACACTATTTACGTGTGTCCAAAATATGTTTTCTAATTTTTGTAATGATAGACACTGAACTTGGGTATAGATCTCAAGTTAGCAAGCCTTGGGCGAGCGGAAGATCTCAGATGGCCAGTTCAGTGAGCAGAAGCCCGGCTGCATCCTTCAGGTGGAAATGAGCGATGCTTACCTGCCAGGGCCTGCCGGGCACAATCGAGGTGGGCGGTCATTCGAGGCAGGAGTACCAGCCCCGGGGCACTCCAGGCTGCCTCCCTGAAGCTTCCGTGCTGCCTTTTCACATGGCCAAGCCACTCCAATAGCCTGGCTCTGGTTTAGTCCTACAGAGCCAAGACTAGTCTTCTGATTGGTGTTGTCTTTGGGCAGCTCAGCTGGCACTGGACAGGGACAGCGGTGTTTTCTGGCCAGCTGTCTAGGGAGGCAGTTCTGGCAACCTCTTTAAACCTTTGTGCTTGGCCATCAAGTTCAACTACAAGCACATAAAAGCTAGACAAGAGGAAATGGCACCCAGAGGAATGAGGCCTTCCCAGCTGCCCTGAGCCCAACATGGTTCTCCTGCCTGTTGTTTTTTATTGCTTTAATCTCCAAAGTACATTGCCATATTGATGAATACTTTGATGTCGGCTCTGAACAAAATGTGGGAACGCATCATAGGAGTTGGGGGGTTTGTTCTCTCCACAGCTTGGAGCAGGGGGTGGACACGGGGTGGCTTCCCTTCTTTCTAGAAGATGGGGGGAGGGGAGAGGCCAAAAATCCAAACACCAACAGAGCTAGGTCTGCAGGGAGAGGCACGTCATTGGCAGCTCAAGAGAAGCTTCCCTTCTGTCCTCAGACCTCATCTTCAACAGTACTTTGTTTAATGAGGCAAGTCTCATACTCTAGATGAGTAACAGGGAAGTGTTCAACATCATCTCCCAAACAATATTAGCAGCCAGGGGTCCCCATTACATGCATAGTAGCCTCAGCTTCCCCCTGCTTCCTCTGAGAGGGAGCCTTTTCACCTTCCCACAGGCACAGCTCACCCCAGAACTCAGCTCCCCCCCACGACCCTCACTCTGACCTTACCCTCAGTGGTCACCCTTCCCAGAAGGTTTCCCCAGGGCCCACCCCAACCTCTTGCTCTTCCTAACAGATTTACTACTGGGAGGCAGACAGCCAGAACGAAACGGAGAAAACAAAGGTCCTGTTCCTCCCTGAGCCCGTGGTGAGGCTGAAGAACCTGACCAGCCACACCAAGTACCTGGTCAGCATATCAGCCTTCAACGCTGCCGGAGATGGGCCCAGGAGTGACCCCCGACAAGGGCGCACCCACCAGGCTGGTAGGAGGAAGGCGGGTTTCCTTTGGGCAGGCTTCATTGGACACGTATTTTGAGAGACCAGCTCAGGTCACCTTGCACAGTGGTTCCTGGCCCGCCCAGGTATAAGGCAACACCTTTTGTATAGCTAGGAGCTTCCGGAGGTGCAGGACTGGGTTTGGCTCATGTGTTTTCCATGTGCCTGGCCTCAGACTGGTACACAGTGGCACAGAGGTTAGGCAGTTGGAGCAATGCATGTTTTTTTCCAGAGCCCTGGAGGATCAGAGGGGAGGAAGGGCTTTGAGTCTGCATCGAGGCCTCATTCATAGCTGATGGGATCCAGTTCCTCCAGGAGACAGAACTTCTTATCAGGGTCATCTTACAGTGTGTGCAGATCCCTGAGGGTGGGCTCCTTGGGCAGCAAGACCAGGCCATGGTGACAGGCGTTCCCCTGGGTTTCAGGGCCACAGACCATCCCTGGAAACTGCTCACTACATGCACACCACAGGCCAGTTCCAAGGGCTTGGACAGGCGCCACACTGCTGTGGCCTCCTCACCACACACAGGGAGTAGTGCAGGTTCTGAGCAGACCCCTCTTCCAGCGCATCTTAGTTTCCCAGCGGCCTGGAGTATGCTGTGAAGCTGCTTGGCCTTGGGCTCCCAGGAGCTGTCTGAGGTCCTCTGTAGGATTCTAGAAGTCTGAGACCAGGAGAGTGAGGTCTAGAAGCGGTGGGCAGAGATGCAGGGCTCAGGGCTTTCCAACATCCTATGGGCTCAGCCACCGTACAGACGATGGGCTCCGGGAATCAGAGCCCCTCTGTTCATCTAGTGCCCACATCTGAGCTGGAAGGACACAGGCAACCTAAGCGCAGAGATGGGGGTAGGGCCACCTTGAGGGCTACTGGCCTGGCAGGTCACAGCTATAGGACCAGAGACTGGAGGGAGGACAGAGAGGGAGCAGGGGGCTGCTGCTTCATAGGCGCTTCTGAGCAGCAAGGGCGCTGGGGTGAGGAGATGAGGTCCCCCATCTAGGCCGTCTGGTAGGGGCAGCCCCGCTAAATGCCCACCTTACACAGTGCCTGGGCAGAGGGGGAACTGCCAGCAGGCTCCACATCACCCTGGCCACACCCCTGGCCTTCTGTAGTTCTAGATATTCCTGTCAGTGCCCTCCCTCCTCCAGACCCAGGGGACGCTCACAGCTGGGATAGTGTCATGAGAGATTTCACATGCGGGAGCCGAGGGCATCCTCCGAAACCCCCCAGGCCTCTGAGAGAGAGGCGAGGAGGGTTCAAGAGAGGCTTCATCCTGCCAAGAGCAGGATGAGGGCCTCTGGAATTCTTCAGCAGTTGCTAGAAAATGGAGCTCTCTGCGTTTCATTTTCTGTTTCCATCTATTATTCATTTTTATCCCTTTGCCGTTTTGTCTCTCAAGCCCCTTTGTGTTTAAGCACTGTCATTTTCTCTGCTCTTCTCGGGAGGGTCTGTGTTTCTGATTGATCCTCCAATGTTCTGAGGTGATCAATAAATCTTTTCATTTTATGGCATTTAGACTTTTACTGAGTTGAAAATAACATCTAATAACATTTTTTATTCTATACGGAGGCACAGACATGTATGTATATGATCTATAAAGGAGCCTTCGTAAAAATCTCTTTGTGTTCTCTTCTCCCAGCCCCTGGGGCCCCCAGCTTTCTGGCGTTCTCAGAAATAACCTCCACCACACTCAACGTCTCCTGGGGCGAGCCTGTGGCAGCCAACGGCATCCTGCAGGGCTATCGGGTGGTGTACGAGCCGTTGGCCCCTGTCCAAGGTAAGATCCAGGGTTGGGGAGATGGGAGTGTGCCATCGTCATGCCCAGCCAACCACAGTCTACACAGCAAGCTGTGCCTGACCTCCTCCTTGAGCCAGGAGTCTTCTGGCACCTGAAGCGGGGAGGGAGGGGGGTTTGGAATCTGAGCTAGCAGTGGCTGGAGCTGAGTGTGTGGGGAGCGGGGACTCTCTGGGAGAGGCCTGTGAGGAAAAGCCGAGCCAAGACCAGACCTCTGTGTTCTGAGACCAGAATGGCACTCACCCTACGGAGCCGTGTCATATACGCCCTTGACCTTGTCTCTGTCACACCCAAGACATTCCCTTCCCGTTCCTCCCAAGATGTTTGTCTTGTGGTCACCGACAGAGACCATCTGAGGTTCCACTTGAAGCCACGTCTTGCAGTATGGTCCTTCGGATACCCTCAGCATCCTCGGAGGGGCACCGACATCCTCATGTCTTAGACGACGCCCTGGTGCCACCCTCTGCCCATTCACACACTCGGCGGACATCTATGAAGCACATTTTCTAGATGCTGGAAAAGCCAAGACCTGCTCTAGATGCTGGAATTGAAGGACCTGGGAGAGTCGGGATCTTGATTGGCTTGTTTATCAAGACCCTGGCTTTCCTGAGTCCAGGGAGTTCCTATTCCAGGGCAGATGTAACACAAAGGTAATTAAAGTGACAACAGCCTGAGTGTGATTAATGCATTGAAGAAAAGAGAGGAGGGCTAACACTAGAGGCTTAGAGAAGAGACTGGAGTGCCAAAGGCCTGGACACACGAGAATCCCAGGGAAGGGCTTCCGACTGGAGGATCAGCCAATCCAGGGCCCCACAGTGGGCAGAGCTTGAGTGGTGCCGGTGGCCAGAGCTTGGTGAGTGGGGTGCATGCACTGCAGGACACAGCACGCGGGGCTGGGATGGATCCCACTGGAGAGTAAGACAGGAGCAGGAGGACCTGACCTCCCCAAGACCGAGATCCCTCAGGCCAAATCCCCCATCTCAATGCCACAGTTGGAAAGAAGGTATCGATCATCTCGGCACTTCCTAGATCATCGAGAAACAGAGCCTCCAGAGAAGAGCAGGGAAAGTGTTTCCATCACAGAGGAGTTTGAGAGAGGAAATGATGGGCTTGAAAACTAGTGACAGGTGAAGACAGAAGGTGGAATGCAGATGGCTTGGGGGAGAATGGGTGGCAGAGATTCCATAGAGCTAGGAGTGAGGAGGCTGACCAGGGCTGTAGCAGCATCCTCCAGGGGAATGGCAGGAAGGGGAATGGTGCGGGGCAGGGGAGGAATGGTGTGTGTTGAAGGTGGAGCCAGTGGGGTATTGATTGTGAAGCCACAGAATGGGGATTGGGGGCAAGTGGCTCTGCCCTGCTGTGCATGTGGCCATTACTCTGCACCTCCTGGGTCAGGTATTATTCTAATGCCTTCTGTGTCCATCTCTCCTGCCACCTAGACACCAGTGTGTCCACTGAAGATTCTGGCTTGGGAGGCATTTCTTTCTCACCACACTGTGGATGGGAATACAAGTCCAGCCACCTCTGCCTTATAATCCAGGGGAAGTTTCCACCTGTAATATACACAGACAGATGTAAAAATTATAGATTATTTAATATCTGGGAGGATAAAATACAACCAGCACATCAATGAATATCGGCGCTCCATTTAAAGTAGTGATAAAAGTTTCCTTTTAAAATAAGCACGTTTAGATGAAACAGGGAGTTGATGTGATGAAGAAAATTTAAGCACTAGATTTTTATTTCACCAAATCTCAGATGCTGTTCACTGCGAGATTCATTGTTATTTTAGGAAGTGCTCAGAAAGAAAAATGCTCCCAATAAACTAGGGCCCAATACTTTTGTATCATCAATTCTGAGCTGCATCCCAAATCAGAGATGTGAAAATCTGAGAAGAAGCACGTCTTAGACAACTGATGGACTTTGGTAAATAACAGTAAAGGTGAGATGTGGGTGTGGTTTTCAAAATGGCAGAGAGGCCATGGGAGGGACATGGATTTAGTGTGGCTGCTTCAAGGGTGGAGGGGAGCCAGGTTCTGTTGTGTCCTTCTGAGAACCCAGCACCTGCCTGGGAGCCAGGGGGTCTGGACACAGCTGCCCACAGCAGCTGCACAGAAGCAGGCATGCCCGTCACTCTTGCTCAGTGTGCAGGGAGAAATGGTAGGGAATTTTGAAGACACACACAGGTTCCATGAGCCTGTGTTAAAAATGCCTTTTCAAGGGTAATAACCAACTAGAACCCTTCAAATGAGAAATGATTGTGAAAGCATCATAGTTCTGATTGACCTACGAGGCCCTCCTAATCAAAGACAGCTCAAGTTTCCCACTCTTCCTCAAATAAGTCACTGGTTCTGCTCCCCAGTCTTCTGCATTAATGGCTGTGCAGAATCTCCCTGGAAACTCCATGGTGTGTGCCTCTGGCTTCTCTCCTGGGCTGCTGCTCTTCATCTTGCAAGAAAGTACTTCATTCCAGGCAAGGCCATTCCATGGGTCATTACCTGGTCAGAAGTGCCGCACAGGGGCCCTGGATTTGTTGTGGTCCCTTTCTCTCTGCACTTCCACACCAGAATCACTTCTGGGCTTCCATCAAACCTTTCTCCCAACCCAGTCTTCCAGGGACAAGACCCAGCACATCTGGTTCCCTTGTGTTTCCATCGTTGCTGCTTCTTGTTTGTTTCATGACAGTTTTTGCATCGCTGGGAAAGTCAAAGCATTCGGAAGATTTTTAGACAATCATTTCAGTGTGTTCTGCTCACATGGGCATTCTGTGTTCTCACTATACACAAGGCACCCCTCAAGCATAATAATAGAGATGAGTGATGTTTGTTGAGCTCGAATCAGGCACTGTGCTAAGCACTTAATATCCGTTATCTCCAAATCCTCATAACAGCTCTACATTGTGGCTGCAGCTCTTATTCTCCTCTTGCAGACAAAGAAATCGGGCTTAGAGCCATGGAGACATTTGCTCAAGGCCTGCGTTTCAAAAGTGATGAAGAGAGGTGGGAGTTGAACCCAGGTGTTCTGATTCCAGAGCCAAGGCCTAAACTGCTCCATGATGGGCAGAAAGTGTCTGGAGCGCTCGCGTTTCTGAAAGTAAATGTGAAGGTGAACTTCAGAGACGGGGCGTGAGGAGGATTCACTAATGCATTTTATATTCCAGACAAATCACTTACTGCACAGCTGAGTAAGGGGCTTGCCACTCCCCTGGATGACAACAGGTGGAGTAGCTTTTGTCACAACCATTTTCGCCTCTTTTCACAGATAACAAAACCATCCATCACCAGCCTTGTCTCTTTTGTCTGTTGTGAAGTGCTAGTTCGTTCAGCCTGGATTTTCCTGGCTTTGCAACCAAGGCAGTGTGCTCTGAGATTAGAGCTTGAAAGGAACAGCGCTGTCTTGCTTCGCAACTCCCTCCTTGGCTCTGCAGGATGAGGGGTGGCCAGGATCTCAGCAGAAACAGCTTCATCAGGCCTCCCCGGGTGTTAGGAAAAACAAGCCATGCAGACTCCTGTGTTTGGGCTTGTTGGGGAGGGCACTTTCCAGACCTTCGATTCTTGCACATTAGTCAAGCGGCAGATCCAGGTATGGGCTGCCCAGCGGTGATGGTGACATGAAGTGTCCAACCCCTGCCCAATGGCCTTGTGGAGCTGCCTCTAGACACAACACCAGGCTCTGACTAAGCCAGGGGGTCCCCGCTAGGGTCTTTTCCGCCTCAATGCCATCAGGCTGCAGGCACTATCAGCCATGGTCCGGCTCTAGCTGGGATGAGTCTGAGTCTGGTTGCAGGCTTCAGACCCCTCTTGGCTTCTCCCTCAGGCAGAACTCAGCAATCCTGCTTCCTGGTTTCACCCAGGTGGACCTCATGGCTGCTCAGGGAAGGTCCTGCTCACCACGAATGGCAGCAGAGCCTCGGGACCCTGGCACTCCCTTGCCTACCCTGATGCTGTTGGCCAGAACCCTGGCTCAGTGAGACACTAACCCCAGGCCTGTCTGACAAGCCACATCCCACAGCCACACACACCAAAAGAAGAATGTGGACCAAGATGGCAGATCAGACTCACTGAGTCAGCTTATATCCCATCCAGGGGCCAGAGCAGTGGCCTCTGATGAAGATTCCTGATTGGTGGGTGGAGAAGGTAGAAGGGGCAGATGCAGGGGCCCATTGCTCACTCCTTCTGAGTCCAGGCCTATAGGTGGAGTCCCCCGAAACAGTCTCTGTGCTGGGCCATGGGACTTGCTTTAGCCAGCAGGACAATAGCTTTCATGAAGCAAGCAGATTCAAAAGCATTTGCACCTGGAAGGCACCCTGGCCCTCCTGCCACCCTTGGAACCCAGCCACCACATCAACACACCTGGGCTGGCCTGTGGAGTGACAGCCACCCATGGCCCAGCAGGAGAGAGGGGCCACCTGGGCCAGCCAACCCCCAGTGAGACTCACTGTGTGAACACAGATACACGCTGAGTCTGGCACAGGTCAGCCCAGCCAAAGGACTGCCCCACAGGACCGGGAGCTAGTTCAATGGCGGTGGTGTTGAGCCACTCGGTTTTGGAGTGGTTTGGTTCGCAGCCGTGCATGAGAAGTACAGCAGGTCAGGAGTCCATGTTGATTACAGAGCACCTGTTACTTAATGCCTTCTTAGACAATAGAGTCAGGGTCCCGACCTTCAGCTGGGCATTCCCATTCATCCCCTCAACTCCTCACCGTGGTCCTATGAGGTAAGCGCCACCAACTTCAGAGCAGAGGGAGAAACCAAGGACTCCACAGAGACCACATGCCTTTCCCAGTGTCACGTGGGGAGCAAGCAGAGGGTTTCAGATTCATTCCCATCCTTGTTTTCTTCAATCTCTCTTCCTCCCAGCTGACTCTGCAGATTTCACAATCAGCCTTGGCAGGAAGGTGGTTCAGGAAGCACTCATCCTGGCGGCTGCTCTCTGCCTGCAGCAGTTTCTGAGCATCTTGGCCTGCTGGGGCTGGGGAAGGGAGGAGGTGAACTCTCTATTGAATGTGGGAGGATGCCGGGATAGCCTGGAAAGGACCACAGTGCTGCATGATGGAGCATGGTCAAGGGCAGGGTGGTTGAGCAGAAGGCAATGATTGGGAAAAAGCAGAGCAGCTTCCTGCGCCCCATGGAAGTCACACCATCCAGCATGCCGGCCAGCTTGTCCAGCCCTTGCTGCCCTGCACCTCCAGGCCCCGGCTGACCTTGCCCCATGGCCACCGCTCCTTCTCTCACCCAGAGGGACTGCCCTCCTCTCTGTTCTTCCCCAAGGCCCCCAGGGGACAGCTGTGCCTGTACGGGGGCCTCTTCTGAAAAATCCAGACCCTCACCCCTTCACTCTTGCATCAAGATATCCAACGGAGAACCACAAAGCAGTAACCAGACCTCCTTGCAACTTTCAATATTTTATATGCCTCATGGAGTGTGCCCACGTCCCCAAAAAACGGTTGCAAATGCAATGAAACATTAGGTGTCCTTGTTTTGGACTGGAATTATATTCACTTGCTGTGGTCATAGAGGTTCTCTTTTAAGACTGCCATGAAATGATCCATATATTTATGTGTGTGTGTGTGTGTGTGTGTGTGTGTGTGTGTGTGTGTGTGTGTCTATGTGTATGAATTTCTACCTGCTTGAAGTATATTGTGAGGACAAAATATTTTAAAATGTGGTAAGGATAGTAGTTACAACGTAAACAGTGATCTCACCTAGTAGGGGTCTGTGGGGTTCTTTGACCTCTTTCCATGCCTCCTACCCAGATCTAGGGCATGCCTGGAGCAGACATCTGCAAACTCCTGGCCAGGCATTCACCAGTCAGGCCAGGGGAAGTAGAGGGCACAGCATTTACCAGGTATGGACCTCTAGTCACTCCACTGGGAACACAGTCGTGGCTCATCCTATGTGCTGGGCAGAGCCCAGGACCATCCCTCAGCTTCACTGTCACTGTAGGGAACACACCTAGAAGACCCCTAGGGCATCACATTTTCCAGAACACCAGGCCACCTGGAGCACCACACCACCCAGAGCGCCACACCACCCAGAGCACCACACTACCCAGAGTGCCACGCCACCCAGAGAGCCCCTCCACCCAGAGCCACCACCCAGAGCATCACACCACCCAGAGTACTACACCACTCAGAGCACCAGGCCACCCAGAGTACCACACCACTCAGAGCACCAGGCCACCCAGAGTACCACACCACTCAGAGCACCATGCCACCCAAAGCACCACACTACATAGAGCGCCACACCACCCAGAGCATCACACCACCTGGAGCACCAGGCCACCCGAAGCACCAGGCCACCTGAAGCACTGCACCACCCAGAGTGCCACACTGCCTGGAGCACTGCACCACCCAGAGCATCACACCACCTGGAGCATTGCACCATCCAGAGCATCACACCACCTGGAACACCACACCACCTGGAGCACTGCACCACCCAGAGCATCACACCACCTGGAGCACCACACCACCTGGAGCACTGCACCACCTAGCATGCCACACTGCCTGGAGCACCAGGCCCCTGGAATGGCACACCACTTGGAGTACTAGACCACCCGGAGCATCAGGCTACCTAGAGCACCAGGTCACCTGGAGCAGCATAACACCTAGAGTGCCAGGTCACCTAGAGCACTAGGCCACTGGAGCGCCAGTCTACCTTGAATGACAGCCCACCTGGAGCGCCAGTCCACCTGAGCACCAGTTCACCCAGAGTGCCAGGCCACCCGGAGCACCAGTCCACTTGGAGTGCCAGCCAGTCCATCTGGAACACCATGCCACCCTGAGCAACAGTCCACCCGGAGCGCCACAGCACCCTGAGCGCCAGTCCACCCTGAGCACCAGTCCATCTGGAACACCATGCCACCCTGAGCAACAGTCCACCCGGAGTGCCACACCACCCTGAGCACCAGTCCACCCGGAGTGCCACACTGCCCAGAGCGCCAGTCCACCCGGAGCTCCAGGCCACTTGAGCACTGAACCATGTGCTTAGGAATCCAATTTTATGACAGACCTATTTTTACATTTTTTTAAATGTTTTAAATGGTGGTGTTTTATGGGAGTATATCCTGAGGCTTTGTAGTTTAGGGCATGGTTTAAAAATTGATTAAACAAATACAATTCTGACACACCTGAGAAGGAGAGAAGGCCAGGCTGGCTCTGCCTCCTGTTGGGATAGAATTTACAAAATTTGTACATGGGTTTGTTTTTGCTCCAGGGAAAATGAAGGCATTTTTAACAACACTGAAAAAAAAAACAAAAAAAAAACGGTTGTTTTCTGGAGTCACTTTACATTGGACAGGACCCAGTTTGTGTGCGGGTGACAGTCACTGTGTGCACAAACTGTGATCCTCCTCACCCCCTGAAAAACAGAAGGTCAGGCTCTGGGCAGAAATGCCCTGTTGATCTAAAGGAAAACCCAGATTTGGAGGGTCACTCAAAAGTAGCCAAAATTGGCCAGGTGTGGTGGCTCATGCCTGTAATCCCAGCACTTTGGGAGGCTGAGTCAGGTGGATCAGGAGATCAGGAGCTCGAGACCAGGCTGGCTAACATGGTGAAACCCCATCTCTACTAAAAATAAATTAGCCAGGCACGGTGGTGCACCTGTAATCTCAGCTACTCAGGAGGCCAAGGCAGGAGAATCACTTGAACTCAGGAGGCAGAGGTTGCAGTGAGCTGAGATCATGCCATTGCACTCCAGCCTGGGCGACAGAGCAAAAAATTTGTCTCAAAACAAACAAAACCAAAAATGAAAACAGTAGCCAAAAATTCTCTGAAATAATTTGGAAGTTATTTAGCTGAATAAATGTTTGATAAACGGCATAATAAGAAAACACTGAACCAGCTAGAAGGTATTTTGGAGATTTTTAGGATAAGAGAAATCTGCTTTGATGGCTTTGAAAGATGGACCCATTTTGTAATAAGAAGACACTATGTTCTGTCCTGAAGTCGAGGTGTCTGGGGTATTCCAGGTGCTGTCCAGCAGCACACGGCCCTCCTGCACCAAGGGCGGCTATTTCTCGGGGCTGACAGCGGGAGAGCAGTGCTGGGCAGGTGGACGCAGGACGGTGGGCGCCACTCACCAAGTGCAGCCCTTCTCAGGGATGCTGCTTGGAAAATGAGTTCTGCCAATCACTACGTCTTGGAAGTGCTATGTCTTGGTATCCTCCTCCAAGAGCTGCCTGGTGGATATTAAATCTACTGAAAGTTCTGAGAATTCCTGCAGTTGAGAACTTACCTAACTTTTTTTTTAATGCATCATTTTCAAACTTGTTTGACCAAAGAACTTTATTTTTCCTTCTGGAAAATGCTGCATTTGTGTAATTTTCAGTATTTATCCTCTCCCCCAGTGTGTCAAATCTCAATTTCCTATTTCTAGATAATACAACCAGCAAGACTTTTGCATTATCACTTGCTTATAATATCACATAGGTTTGAGGACTTTTGTCTCTATGTTGCCATTGTCCTCTGAATCGAGGTATCAATACTTTTAGTGAAAAATTAATTTTTCAAATCCTTGCTTACACGTCCACAGTTGAAGTTCTGATGACTTGTTTGAAACCCATAGGCCACAAGTTGGCCAACCCAGGCAGGCTGCAGCCTCCTCATGGGTTCTAACTAGATGGAGTATCTTCCTGCGTCTTTTATACTCTCCCTGTATTCATCTGTTCTCACACTGCTAATAAAGACATACCCGAGACTGGGTAATTTATAAAGGATAGAGGTTTAATGGACTCACAGTTCCAGATGGCTGGGGAGGCCTCACAATCATAGTGGAAGGCAAAGGAGAAGCAAAGTCACGTCTTACATGGCAGCAGGCAAGAGAGTATGTGTGGGGAACCCCCCATTTATAAAACCATCAGCTCTCATGAGACTTGTTCACTACCATGAGAACAGTGTAGGAGAAAGTGCCACCATGATCCAATTAACTCCACCTGGCCCCACCCTTGACACAGGGAGATTATTACAATTCAAGATGAGGTTTGGGTGGGGACACAGGCAAACCATATTACTTCTCTCACTCATGACTGTGTCAGGAAGCTTACAGTCACCATGGAAGTGACACCAGACTTTGCACAGCTCAGATCCAAGTGGGAAGGGACATTCCCCAAAGTGTCCAACCTGGAGATGGGCAGGACCATCACCCCCTCCCCTGCTCCTCCCTGGCATAATTCCTCAGATGGCAGCCTCCCCCTTTTGTGTTGTAAGCCTCAGTTCTTTTGTCAGCACCCACTTATCAAACTTAAGCTCTAATTACACTTATCTGTGCTGAAAATTGGCTATTATCACCACATAAACTCCTCCTAATTGTAAGAAATACTTCCTTAGCAAACTGCGGGGACCGAGTGCCCTGTTATCACAACAGAACAGACGGTGCATGGTTGCTTCTCCAAGCTGAGTCCCTTTCTTTCCTTTGCTTCTGGCGGCTGCAGGGGTGAGCAAGGTGGTGACCGTGGAAGTGAGAGGGAACTGGCAGCGCTGGCTGAAGGTGCGGGACCTCACCAAGGGGGTGACCTATTTCTTCCGTGTCCAAGCTCGGACCATCACCTACGGGCCTGAGCTCCAAGCCAATGTCACAGCCGGGCCGGCCGAGGGTAAGTGGGACTCCAGGGGCAGATAGTGTCAATTGCAACTTTGGCTTCCCACCTCCTGCTTCACTGAGCTGGGATCCATCTACATGCTCATAAGGCAGTGGTGGCTGAAAGCTGGCATAAACTCAGGGACATCTGGGCAACGTGGAAGTCTTCAAAAGCACATGTCAACATGGGCTTTGCAGGTGGAAAGAGAGGTTGGGCATGACACATGCAGGGTGCCCCACACTTTGCCCACCTGTCTCAGCCTCCCAAAGTGCTGGGATGGCAGGCATGAGCCACCATGCCTGGCCTTGCCTCTATGTTTTTAAGATGAAAAACCATGGCCATGTGAGGTTAAGTAACCTGTCCAGACACTCTGCAGCCTCAACCGATCTGATCCCCACTGTGAAATCTCTCACGGTGGGATGTAAGCCCCCTTAAGGCTGGTGCCTAACCTCTCTTGTTACATATGTGAACAAATTCTTAAATATTAAGCCTGTAAAGTTTTTGTTTTTTGGAAAAATCTTAAGAGGAAAATAACTGAGTTTGCTATCTGAAATTAATCAGAAAACATTAAAGTTTTCCAGGTCACAGAGAAGAACCATGTAACCTCCCCCTTACCCAACTGTTCTGCCCATTGTTTAAAGACAAGAAGGTGTGGGCAGCAGAACTGGCGTCCAGGGAGTGCCGCTGAGTCGTGGGCATAGTGCGGGGCGCCCTGCATGTGTCAGCTCTTTCATGCTCTCTTCAGGTTTTGTTTGTTTTGTGAGACAGGCTCTGTCACCCAGGCTGGAGAGCAGTGGCACGATCTGATCTTAGCTGACTGCAGCCTAAGTGGCTCAAGCAATCCCCCCACCTTAGCTTCCCAAGTAGCTTGGCTACAGGTATGTACCACCACACCTGGCCAATTTTATTTTTTACTTTGTAGAGATGGGTTTTCACCATTTTGCCCAGGCTGGTCTCAAATTCCACCTGTCTCAGCCTCCCAAAGTGCTGGGATTACATGCATGAGCCACCATGCACCTGCCTTGCCTCCCTGTTTCTGTTTGTTTTTTTGCTTGCTTTTGAGATGGAGTTTCACTCTTGTTGTCCAGGCTGGAGTGCAATGGCATGATCTCGGCTCACTGCATCTCTGCCTCCTGGGTTCAAGTGATTCTCCTGCCTCAGCCTCCCGAGTAGCTAGGATTACAGGCATGCACCTCCATGCCCAGCTAATTTTGTATTCTTAGTAGAGACAGGGTTTCTCCATATTGGTCAGAGTGGTCTCAAACTCCTGACCTCAGGTGATCCACCCACCTCAGCCTCCCAGAGTGCTGGGATTACAGGTGTGAGCCACTATGCCCGACCTTGCCTCCCTGATTTTAAGATGGAAAACCATGGCCATGTGAGGTTTAGTAATCTGCCCAGGTGCTCTGCAGCTTCAACCAATCTGACCACCACTGAAATCTCACATGGTGGGATGTGAGCCCCCCACCGCAGGGCTGATGCCTAACCTCTTCTTTATCCCGCAGGGTCCCCGGGGTCCCCTAGAGATGTCCTGGTCACCAAGTCTGCCTCTGAGCTGACCTTGCAATGGACAGAGGGACATGCTGGCGACACACCTACCACAGGCTACGTCATCGAGGCCCGGCCCTCAGGTAAGGGTGGCAGGCCCCATAAACGGGGTATCAGCCCAGCTGACAGTGATGCTTCTGAAATTGTTGGGGGCTTCCATCCCTTTTTCTTTTGGCATTTTCTCCAACAAAGCTGAGAGAAAGAGGGCAGTTTTGGCGAAAGAAGATGATCATTGCTCACTCAACTCCTTCCAGTTTTCATAGTCACAGCTGTGCTGATAACCTTAAGGGCACTCAATTTGGGATGTTTTAGCCCCAGGACACTTACTTAGGATGATAATGTTATTCCTAGAAATAGGTGAATGAGAACTTAGGGACACAAAAAGGCATTTTCTAACTCATCCATGAGTGTTTTCAGGGACTAATCTCAGGGTTCTAAATGTTTGCTGCTGAGATGGAAAGAGTCATGCTTGTTCTGATAATACGAAGATTCTTATTATTAGTGAAACCGACACATCATTGGCTTCATTTCTTAGGCTTCCGAAAATGAGGTCTAATATCATTTCCAGCCCTATTCACCCAAAGGGTTTTTTTTCACCCTTCCTTCCATTTGACTTTAATAACTAAGGATGGGCATTATTGGAAAATGAGTTTCTGATCGGTTGCGTCGGATATTACTGCTTGGAGCTAGAGGGTATCACCTAACACAGAGAGCACAGAACAGCTTCAATATGACCTTCAGATAGTTGCACAGTCATGAACATCTGAGCATGAAAATATGTGATATGTCAGGGATGCTATTCAGGAAGTGAACCATCAAACCCTGCCCGCGAGATGGACCGCGGTGCTAAGGAACTGCTTTAGTCTAATATTTAAAGAGGCTATTAGACCATGAGGAAAGACCCCAAAGTTACATCTGTCACTGTGTCAGGACAGACGTTCCCACCTCCCCCACCAAATTGCTTTTGAAAGATGATTAGTTACAAGTGCCTTCTAGAAACTTCTTTTTATTTTTGAGACAGTGTCTCGCTTTGTCATCCAGGCTAGAGGGCAGTGGTACGATCTCAGATCCCTGCAAACCTTGGCCTCCCAGGTTCAAGCAGTTCTCCTGCCTCAGCCTCCTGAGTAGCTGGGATTATAGGCACCCACCACCACGCCTGGCTAATTTTTATATTTTTAGTAGAGAGGGGGTTTTGCCATGTTGGCCAGGCTGGTCTCAAACTCCTGACCTCAAATGATCCACCTGCCTAGGCCTCCCAAAGTTCTGGGATTACAGGCATGAGCCACCAAGCCCGGCCGCCTTCTAGAAACTTCTAAGGAGAAACATAGTGCATAAGCATGAAAAAGTCTCTACTCAAAGGCAACATAAACATTTCTTTGGCTCAATAATTAAGAAATCCAGACGTGCTCACCCGGCAGACCCTGAGAATATCTTTTGAGCATGGTGCCTGTCTTGTTGTGGAAGCAGAGGTCTCGAGTTGGTGAAGGATGTGATTTTGGCAGGGGCCTCCTGTGGTCACTACCTGTGAAAACCCATGGCCCCTAGCACAACCAGCTGGCCCTTTGCTCTTTGATTCAAGAGCACTTTCAGAGATTGACAAGAGCTGAGAAGTGTGGGGTCTGGGGCCAAATTGAGGCTAAGGGGAAGCAGGCCAGTGGCAGGGAGCAGCCCAGACTTAAGAAACCATTTCAGCCAGGTGCAGTGGCTCATGCCTATAATCCCAGCAATTTGGGAGGGAAAGGCAGGTGGATCATGAGGTCAAGAGGTTGAGACCATCCTGGCCAACATAATGAAAATTCGCTGGGTGTGGTGGTGCATACCTGTAGTCCCACCTACTCGGGAGGCTGAGGCAGGAGAACTGCTTGAGCCCAGGAGGCGAAGGTTGCAGTGAGCCGCGATCGTGTCACTGCACTGTAGCCTGGTGACAGAGCAAGACTCTGTCTCCAAAAAAAAAAAAAAAGAAACCATTTCAGACACTTTCCTCTCCACATCCAGGGGAGAGCACTGATTTCTTCATCAGCTCTTCCAGCCCATCAAGGGGTTCATCAATAGAACTCAGCAGATCCATGAGCTTAGATGGGGAAAATAATACATTTGATCTTCACTGACCTCTAACTGGATTTGACGTTTCCTTTAATTATGTGTGTAGTCTCTTTCATTTGCCCGGGCTGCTGTAGCAAAGTCCCACAAACTAGGTGGCCTCAATGACAGACATGGGTTGACTGACAGTTCCGGAGGCCAGAAGTCCACAGTCAAGGTGGCAGCAGGGCGGGTTCCTTCTCCTGAGGCTGTGAGGGAGGATCTGTTTCCTATAAACTCTCCCCCAGCTTCTGGCAGTTACAAGCCATCCTGGGCGATCCTGGGCTGACAGCTGTCCATCTCTGGTGTCACCGTCCCATGGTGATCTCCCTGTATGTGTGTCTGTGTCTTGGTTTTAGCTTTTATGAGGACACCAGTATACTAGACTAGGGACCCACATGCTCCAGCAGGATATCATCCTAACTAATTACATCCACAGCTATCCTATTTGCAAATAAGGTCATTCAGAGGTACTGGAGGTCAGGACTTCAACATATGAATTTGCAGTGGGGGCAGGGACAGAATTCAGTGCATACTAGTAGCTAAGAAACTACATAACTAATAGCAGAACGTGAGACTCCCAGCAATATTTTCATATAACTTCCCAGCCATTGCAGCTATTTCACGATGCTGTTTAGACGTGTCATTATGTTGAAATCACAGTCATTTGTAGACTCTCTGCTGGACCTTGTCAGCTAATGAGTCAATAAAGCATAGGTTTTTGAGTTGCGCTGGGATAACGGGGCCGCAAGTCACCTAAACCCAGCTCTTCACGCATCTTCCAAGGAATGACGTTGCCCAACAAGTAGCGTAAAGAAAACCAGCCATAATCCACGCCTCCAGCATTACCTGGAGACACGGGCTGTCAGGAACCTGCAGGTGCCTTCAGGTGATTGTAGGCATTACCAGGCATATGACTCCTTCTCGCATTGTCGTAAAGAAATGTCTGAGACTGAGTAATTTATAAAGAAAAGAAGTTTAAATTGGCTCACAGTTCTGCAGGCTGTACAGGAGGCATTGTGGCTTCTGCTTCCAGAGAGGCCCCAGGAAGCTTCCAATCATGCTGGAAGGTGAATGGGGAGCCAGCACGCCAAATGGCCAAGGCAGGAGGAAGAGAGTGCGGGGGGAGGTGCCACACACTTTTAAACAGCCAGGTCTCCTGAGAAGTCATTCCCTGTTATGAGAACAGCACCAAAGGGATTGTCCTTAAGCATTCATGAGAAACCCACCCCCAGGTTCCAAGCACCTCCCACCAGGACCCTCCACCAACCCTGGGGATCACAATTCAACATGAGATTTGAGTGGGGACACAGCGAAAACCATATCACCAGTACAATTAGTTTCCTTTTCAATTTTTCTTTATGCATCTCAACCATTCTGAGAAAGTATCCTTTGAGCCAACAGATCACCACAGGGACCCATGGTGCCAAGAGCAGATTAAGACACGTGTAATCAATCCCGGCACTTTGTGAGGCAGAGACAGGTGGATCACTTGAGGTCAGGAGTTCCAGACCAGCCTGACCAACATGGTGAAACCCCATCTCTACTAAAAATATTAAAAAATTAGCCAGGCATGGTGGCACGCACCTGTAGTCTGAGCTACTCGGGAGGATGAGGCAGGAGGATCGCTTGAACCCAAGAGGCAGAGGTTGCCATGAGACAAGATCGCACCACTGCACTCCAGCCTGGGTGACAGAGCAAGACTCTGCCTCAAAAAAAGAAGACACCTGCACCAGAAAACCACAGAAGGGCCTGGCTATGCAACTTCCTCCCCCTTGAATGCCTGCCTCCCCGAGTAGAGATGAACGATCCCAGCAGACGTGTGGCTGTCACAGGGCCGCAGAAGGAACCTCATGCATCTCGTCCGCACCCCTGCCCATGTCCCAGTTGTGAGATGGCAGCACAGTTCTGCAGGATGTTACCATTGGGGAAAATGGGGAGAAGGACACATGGACTTACTTTCTGTTTTTTTCTTACAACCACATGGGACTCTTTACCTCAAAATCATATGCTTAGCTTAATCATTTAAGAAGCCATGGATGCCCATTCTCAGCCTGCTCCATCAAGCACACCAATGTGTCTTTGAGCATTCTTGTGTGGGAGACGAGCCTGTGAGATGGGGCAGCACCAGCCAGACACAGGTGCCTGGGCTTAGCCTCTTAACGCTGTGAACACATCTCAGCACATTCCAAGAAGCGATAAGGCTTTGGCTCTCATGCTTGCTGGGGGAGCCCTTTACTTTCTCCTCAGGTGCTCATGTGCTGCTCTACTTGCCATCACGAAAGGAACAGGGCGCCTGTTGGTTACTGGTGCAGCCCAGGGAGTCTGGCAGGCTGTGTGAATAAGAAGTAATTGACCTGTCAGCCAGGCAGGGTCCACGGCTTGGAGGGGCCTGCCCAAACATGGAGAAGCTTCTGAAGTCAGCTGAGTCTGAGCTCAGCAGGGTTGGAGCCAGAGTGTGGAAACTGACCTTTGGGGGACCAAGACATGACAACAGACTGACCAGGAAGATGCTGGCTTTTTCAGCAAGAGCAGAGACCTTGCACTTACTTCTGCCTGGCTACCAGACATTCAAAAGCCGGTCGCCAACGGTCTCTCTTTCAGATGATGAAGGAAACCCAAATGGGCCGCTGGACCCAGGTCTTTCATGGGAGGTTGCAAAAGACACCCCCTCCCTTCCGTGACTAAGGCCAGCAGCAGCTCAGGCAAATGAAACGCTTTATGGATTGTCAATATTTAAACACCTTGCTGGTACCTGAGGGCTTTGGATCTCAGCTGTCATCTATTACAGGCCTCATTACACAAAACATTAAATGCTGTATCATCTCATTTTCTCCACCGAAGCTCCCTGGCAAGACGTTCTCCAGGCAGGGAATGGTTTGCTTGAGGTGCAGTGAACAGACCCTGGTTTGTATTGGGAGGGGCCATGCAGGGGCCTCACCACTGGGTGTCTGGGAGATGAGCACTCAGTGCCAGGCAGACCCTGTGACCCACGTGGTCGACT